GTTTGTGAGTCAATGCGAGAGGCGGGCGGTTGGGAGGGCGATGGGAGAGTCTGAGAGGTACTGGGATGTTTGGTTGCAGGTACTGGAACGACCCCGCAGTCCTGAGCAGGCTCGGGCAAGCCATGGGCGTGGGTGTGCCGGGAGCGGACGGGCTTCAAATTCCTGGGGAGTCGGCGAATGATGAAGAGGAGGAAGAGGGTGAGGAGGAGGACGATGAATTGACCGTACATCACACCGCCAGCACCGGTGACGTGGAGGTATTGGGGGCGGGGGGGGGGGTCGGCGCCAGGAGTCGTTGACGTTATGAGCACGTTCCCTGAGCCACTGTTGGCGTGGGGTTGCTCGGTTGTGTCGTGTAGTGGTGACTGGGGTCGCAGGGGGGCAGAGCTAGAGGAGGGAGGCATCTTGGGTGTCGATTCTGGATGGTTGATGGTGGCAGGGAGCAAGAGTGGGTTGGGCGAAGGGCGCTGGTGTGGTTATGTCGTGGGGTGTATGCGATGAAGGTCGGGAGGAGTGACGGATTGTTTTTGGTGGTGGGAATGTGTGGGCAGGGTCTGAAAATTCTTCTACGAGACGGTGCAGACAAGGACGAGAAGGATGCGGAGGGCAGGACTGCGTTGCACTTCGCGTGCGGTTATGGAGAGGTGCGCACATTTATGCCAACCCCGCTGCGTTTGTTGTTGTTGCTGCTGCTGTTTAGGTGGGGGAGGGGAGGGCATGTCCGGATGCTGAGAAGTGGCGTGCAGGCACAGCTGGAAGGAGGCGTGGGCGAGCGTTTTGTGTGGATTGCGTGTCTGGAGTAGAAGGGCGATTGGTGTTTGTGTGGAGTGAGGGTGTGTGGTGAATGGAGGTCCCCTGCCCCGGGAAGTGCGGGAGAGGGTGGGGTCGACTAGTGTGCGAAGTGGTTGGAATGGGCTGGCGGGCATGGCATTGTTTTGGGTGCGGCACGTTGGGCAGGGCAGCGGAGTAACCTGGGAGGGTTGGAATGTTGCAGGTGAAATGCGCGGAGGCGTTGCTGGAAGCCGGAGCGGCAGCGGATGCGCTGGACAAGAACAACAACACAGCCCTGCACTATGCTGCCGGTTACGGTCGTGCGGAATGCGTTGAGCTGCTCCTGAAGAACGGCGCTGCTGTGTAAGATTTCGATTGCTCAGATGATATGGGTTCTACCGCGCACAGTGGTGCAGAGCACGCGAATGCGTAGCGCGGCGTTTGTGAGGGGCAGGCGTCCGCCCCCACGGGTGCGACGTTGACGCGTGGGGCGAGGGCGGGTTGCGATGGTTGATGGGTTGGTTGGGGTGGAGCGTATGAACAGGAGTTGTTTTGAAGCGCATTGCAAGGGGTGGGACGTAGGCTGAGAGAGTTGGGCGTTGGTTGTGCAGGACTTTGCAAAATTTGGACGGGAAGACGCCAATCGACGTGGCAAAGCTGAACAACCAGGACAAGGTTCTGCAGCTGTTGGAGAAGGACGCTTTCCTGTAAATTGGTGGACGATGATGGTGAGCTGTGCGGAGGCCGCTACGAGCAACGTCAGGGGCACAGTGTAGTCGATTCTCGGGCAACGAGAGTGGAGACCATTGTGGTTGGATACCATGTCGTAACGATCGTAGAGTTCTTTGCAGGGCGTAAGGTGTAGTTCGTAGTGCTGTGCGGAGTATGACGTTGCGCAGCTGTAGTTGTGATTTTTGTTAGAGCGTCTATCTGAGTCGTGTAGGTTTTGTCACGGTCGCATCCTGTGGCCCGTCCGCGCACTGTGTGTATGTATGTTTTCTTGAACATCGGTTTAAGGCGTCACAATCGAGAATTTTAGCGAGGGTATGGGAGCTTGGATGATTTGTCGTTGATTTAGCCGGTGTTGAATTATATGGGGGTTATGGGGAAGGGTCCAGTGTATGTTGGGTGGTTAGATACGCAGAGGCAAAAAGATGTGTTGGAGCAGCTCTTTGGCGGACATCATTTACGTGTGAAGTCGTTAGGCGGCGATTTCTGCACTTTCCGGTTGCGGACTTTCCGCCATGAGGATGGTTTTGCTTGGATGATTGTTGTTATTTCTGTCGTCACTTGGATTTTGGCATGGAAAATTGGAGATTGTGTGGGAGGTGTTCGAGGACGGAAGTGTGGGATCGTTCGAAGGCGACCACGACGACGTGATGTGTGTTCGTCTCTGCGACGAGATGTGAATGTCGGAGCTGTCGCTGTAGGTTTGGAAAGAACAGCGACGACATGCGTGTCGGCTTGGGACAGCAGTGTATAGCAGTGTACAGTCCCTTGGTTTTGCTATTTTTATTCTAGTCGGTGTGTTTGTGTTGGGTAGGGGGTGCAATTGGAGAGCTGAGTCCTGTGAGTTTTATGGTGCGAAGAGAGCACGCGTCTCTTTACGGTAATTTGGTAGAGATGGGACACATTTTGAATGCACGATTCAATTTGCCTTTGAGATGTGATACCGATGCGGAAGATGGGATGTGGAGCTTGAGTTGGGAGTAGTTGATTTGATGGCCTTGTGGTTAGCAAATCCTTTCAAGGGTCTTGACACCTGCAGAGAATCATGACATGGGTCCTTTGTAGTTCACAATCGGTGAAAGTGTCGGAGCTTTTACATGGCCTACGGTGTTATGTATCCTTGTTGGCATGACATTGTCGGGTGGGTAGAGCTGTCAAGTGGCTTGGGTGCGAATTGAGCACTGTGATTGAAGGGTGGGAGAAGACCTCGCTTGTTTTAGTTTGCTGGGTTCCCTCAATTGTTTTTCTGTTGCGGGGGGTCGGTTATTGAATTTATTATATTGATACGAAATTTATCACATTTCCATACACCATGCGTTACGTGGGGTATTATTGAGCTGTGTGATCGGAAAGCTCTGTAATAATGAAAACACTGGTGCGATGGCATTTGTTTACATTGAGTTATTTGAACACTGTTTACAACTCAAATACTAATGTGATGGCCCGCAATGCCAAGGAACTATCTGAAATCAGTGGTCGTCCCACACTTTATCCCTCAATGCACCACGTTTGTATACCAGTTGGAAAGTAGATTTTTGCCGGAATGCTAGCAGATGTTCTTCGATTAGGGCACGTGCAGCCCACGTCACAGTTGTCACTGAGCAGGTTGGTTTAAAAGTTCAAAACTGCTCTGTTGTGTGTTCTAGTATTTAGATGGTGAATATTTTCTTTGTTTCGTTTAGTGAACATTTGGGAGCAAAGGAATTTTCCATTGAGATGTGAAACGTATAGAAAACCGTAAGTCATACTATTACAGAGTTGTACCACATCTGAATAACAATAAAGTCTTCGTTTGCGTACTAATAATGGAGTTAATTCCATTATTTTTCTTCATTAACCTTAAGGCAGACTATTAAACCCAGAATGCACTTGCCCAAACAAAGAATGTTAGAAATCCATGTTCTTAAAGATGGAATCCAAGTCAAGTCCTTAGAGACAAAGAAGTAGTGAGGCAACTTGGCAAGCCAAGTCAATAGAATTGGTTCCATTGTCGCTGTAGGACAAGTGGAGCAAAGAATTGGTTCCATTGTTGTTGTAAGACAAGTGGAACAACTCCACGGCTCTAGAACCTTGAAGATCCATGTCATTGTTCTTCTTAGATGTTCCAAGTTCTTTCACACTCGTCATATGCATGGTGTACTTCCTTTTGCTTGCTTTTGCCACCTATCGTCTACTCCCACATTGCAATATATGTAGCAACATTTAATTTTTGCCTATACATTGTTGATTGTTGATCAAATTGAGTGTTATTGACACATAATACAGTGTGCTCATTTGTATTATTGAAAGATTGGTTGCAATTAATATCACAATTAGGATCAATGTTATTTTTCTTTTTGAATTCCTTTATTTGATTGATTGATTGCAACACTTATAGGTTGTAGGATGGTGACATTGCAATTGAACTTTATGAGAGTGATTAGTTGGTGAAGTGTTTTCATTGGGATTGTATATTATTGAGAAGTTGAGAGATAGACATGGTTGTGTCACTATTTGGAGGTCATGGCAGCAGCATCTTAGATATTTTTGAGTTTGGCAGCATATTGGATGTTAAAATTATTATCACATCCACTTATCAACAATTATTGCATCAATTTACCAATTGATTGTTAAATTAATTAACTTTGAAGTAAACTTTAGATCCATCTTAAAAAGAACTTTGCATTTACATTAATGCACCAATGATCTCTTTGATAAAAGTAACTATCATTACTACTTTTACTTATTGGTGAATCTTCTAAAATCACTCTACCACTTATATGCATAGATAAGTAGACTTATATAGATAAGCTTTATATCTCAAATATAAATACTATAGGATGTCTTTGAGTTGTATCTCTTAATTAATGTGTACCTATATGATCAATGTATTAAGGAATTATAAAGATTTTACACATGGTGTCAAAGCAAGGTTCTTCTTTTTAGAGAAGAGTTGATTATGGCTAGAGAACAAAGTCTTACAGATATATGCTAGAGTAGCATAATCTTAGGTGGACTGAAGTATGTTCTGTCAAAGTGACAACATCCATTTAAAAACAGTAGTAGTTAAATTTGTTAGGGGAATACAAATTATTGAAGTCATTGGCAACAACCTTGTCATTGTAGTTTTTGTCAATACATTCACACTTGTCATTGTAGTTTTTGTCAATACATTCACAAGTATGAAGAAAGGTACCACTTTAGATGCCAATTTGAAGAATAAAACTTTAAGACAGACCAAAAGAAGTCAAGTTTCACAATAGTGTTGTAATTTGTACAACAAAATTAAAGGTGCCATTAGAAGCTAGTCCATACAATATAAGAGATGTCAATAAACTTCATGGCATTAGTAACTATGGTGTATGGAAGATTAAAATAATGAAAATATACATGAAAGAAAAACTATGGGACTTAGTTAACATAGATTCAACTTTGCCTAGCATAGTTATAGATTCAAAATTGTAACTTCAACTTGAATTCCTAGCTCCTAAAAAGAAAAAACAAAGCACTAATGCTTTGTGGAAGATTCAATCGATCACCCCAATTGCTTCAACCTCTTGGTCAAACAACAAAACAAGATCTTCACAGAGGACCACTTGTGCGAGTATACTAGGCATATAAGCCCCCATACCCTCGCGAAAATTAGTACTATTATCACATCAAGCTCCCATATCCTCGCTAAAATTCTCGATTGTGACGCCTTAAACCGATGTTCAAGAAAACATACATACACACAGTGCGCGGACGGGCCACAGGATGCGACCGTGACAAAACCTACACGACTCAGATAGACGCTCTAACAAAAATCACAACTACAGCTGCGCAACGTCATACTCCGCACAGCACTACGAACTACACCTTACGCCCTGCAAAGAACTCTACGATCGTTACGACATGGTATCCAACCACAATGGTCTCCACTCTCGTTGCCCGAGAATCGACTACACTGTGCCCCTGACGTTGCTCGTAGCGGCCTCCGCACAGCTCACCATCATCGTCCACCAATTTACAGGAAAGCGTCCTTCTCCAACAGCTGCAGAACCTTGTCCTGGTTGTTCAGCTTTGCCACGTCGATTGGCGTCTTCCCGTCCAAATTTTGCAAAGTCCTGCACAACCAACGCCCAACTCTCTCAGCCTACGTCCCACCCCTTGCAATGCGCTTCAAAACAACTCCTGTTCATACGCTCCACCCCAACCAACCCATCAACCATCGCAACCCGCCCTCGCCCCACGCGTCAACGTCGCACCCGTGGGGGCGGACGCCTGCCCCTCACAAACGCCGCGCTACGCATTCGCGTGCTCTGCACCACTGTGCGCGGTAGAACCCATATCATCTGAGCAATCGAAATCTTACACAGCAGCGCCGTTCTTCAGGAGCAGCTCAACGCATTCCGCACGACCGTAACCGGCAGCATAGTGCAGGGCTGTGTTGTTGTTCTTGTCCAGCGCATCCGCTGCCGCTCCGGCTTCCAGCAACGCCTCCGCGCATTTCACCTGCAACATTCCAACCCTCCCAGGTTACTCCGCTGCCCTGCCCAACGTGCCGCACCCAAAACAATGCCATGCCCGCCAGCCCATTCCAACCACTTCGCACACTAGTCGACCCCACCCTCTCCCGCACTTCCCGGGGCAGGGGACCTCCATTCACCACACACCCTCACTCCACACAAACACCAATCGCCCTTCTACTCCAGACACGCAATCCACACAAAACGCTCGCCCACGCCTCCTTCCAGCTGTGCCTGCACGCCACTTCTCAGCATCCGGACATGCCCTCCCCTCCCCCTCTCCTAAACAGCAGCAGCAACAACAACAAACGCAGCGGGGTTGGCATAAATGTGCGCACCTCTCCATAACCGCACGCGAAGTGCAACGCAGTCCTGCCCTCCGCATCCTTCTCGTCCTTGTCTGCACCGTCTCGTAGAAGAATTTTCAGACCCTGCCCACACATTCCCACCACCAAAAACAATCCGTCACTCCTCCCGACCTTCATCGCATACACCCCACGACATAACCACACCAGCGCCCTTCGCCCAACCCACTCTTGCTCCCTGCCACCATCAACCATCCAGAATCGACACCCAAGATGCCTCCCTCCTCTAGCTCTGCCCCCCTGCGACCCCAGTCACCACTACACGACACAACCGAGCAACCCCACGCCAACAGTGGCTCAGGGAACGTGCTCATAACGTCAACGACTCCTGGCGCCGACCCCCCCCCCCGCCCCCAATACCTCCACGTCACCGGTGCTGGCGGTGTGATGTACGGTCAATTCATCGTCCTCCTCCTCACCCTCTTCCTCCTCTTCATCATTCGCCGACTCCCCAGGAATTTGAAGCCCGTCCGCTCCCGGCACACCCACGCCCATGGCTTGCCCGAGCCTGCTCAGGACTGCGGGGTCGTTCCAGTACCTGCAACCAAACATCCCAGTACCTCTCAGACTCTCCCATCGCCCTCCCAACCGCCCGCCTCTCGCATTGACTCACAAACACGCTCCATTCGCCCAACCACCACAACAAAATTAAATCAATCAATGCATAATACAACCAAACAAACACTAACATCCCACAACTGACTTCATCATCGCAGCAGGGCCGCCGGTCTCGATCTCCTCCAGCACCGGCTTCAGGGTCGGATCCTCTCGTACCGCTGCCATGCGCTGCTCCAGCTGCTCCTTGTGCGCGGGGTTCGTCAGGTTCGACAGCATGCCCGACATTGCGGGGTCCTGCAATCCACGCGTGTCCGTACTGGTGAGACTTCCCCCGTCTACTGTTCCTCCGACACTGCAATCCCAGCAATCTCCCATTCGCTACCATTCATCTCACTCAAGGACGGACACGCCCCCAAAGGTCTCCGAGGACTACCACCATGCACTGGACATCCCCCTACAAGACCACTCACAAAACGTGCCGCCGGGCCCCGTCCCCCTCGCATACCTACCATGCCCGAGCCCCTCCTCTACTACCACCTTTCACCTACGCCACCACTCTAACCGCACACATCCGTATACACTTCCTACCCCCTTCCCTGCTCCACCAACCACCCCACCCAACGAACGCTACCGCACCTGCATCAGGGCGTTGCCGAGCCGTTCTGCCATGGTCATGAACTGAGGATTTTGCATCACTTGTTGCATCGCGTTGATGTACTGGTTCGGGTCCAACTGGGGAGCCCCCCCGCTTCCAGCACTCTGCACGCTGCTCTGCAGCTGCTGGGCCATCTGGGTGAATGCGGGATCTTTAGCGATCTGCTCCGCCATCTCCTTGATGCTGGGATCCTGAACACCACCACACACACACTGTCAGCAACGCGTTGCCCACTTCCAAAATACGTCCCATCACCCCCTCACGAACAAACCGCATCACACGGAAACGGCACAACGCCTGCGTCAACACACCACCACCACCACGTCTCCTTCACAATTCCATTGCCAACTCCTAACGTGGACTCAGTACACATGTCCACACCGTCCAAGCGCTCGGCAGCGGCAGCGATATGAGCAACCGTGTTCCGGCAACCCGCACGTTCCTCGACAAGCAACTCTAGCCTCCAGTCCCCCCCTCGATGCCTCGTCACGAATAATTCGTCATTCCATGAGCATCGTCGTTGTCAACCCACTGGCTCCTGACTTCAGCTCAACAGTGCACCCCACACACCACCCAACGACTTCAACCTCTCCTGCAATCCCCTACATGACACCCGTGCGCCATTCCGTGTTTCGTTCCCACTCTTCTCACCACGGACGCGTCGCACTCCTGTCCATGCCGGATCCCACATCTCGTTCCGCGCATCGCTTCCATCCCTGCTAAACTCGCTCACTACGCCTCCGTCCACACCCTCGCAACCACATTGTGCGGCTCTGATGCCCGCCACAAAACCATGCCCATGCCCATGCCCAGCCCAACACACACCCCGCACCCCTGTCCACTCCACGACTCCCAAGCTTCGGACTCCACAACCGGCCTCACAATCCCCCGTCTCACATTAACGCGCCCTGTCATGCTGACCCCTGACTGCCACCGACAACATCACCATCCCACAACCAGGGACTGTGCGACCACAACGGAGGACGACCCTCCCTCGACACCACGGCCACGGCCGTCAACCCCACCACAAACACGCGACAGCAAGGTGCAGTAGGATGGGACGTACGTTCAACAGCCCAGACATGGCTGAAAAATCGAATGGGTTGGCTCCTCCCTCCTCGCCACCGACTCCAGCGCCCGATGCGCCCGCAGCTTTCTCCTCAGCACCCGCCGCGGCCGGAGCCTTCTTCTCTTCCACATCTCCAACCTTATCTGCAACCCACAATCCATCAAACTAATGCCATGTCCACCGACCACCCCTCCCCGCAATCATCATCGTCACCATCATCTCTCTCCCATGCCAGCTCTGCTGTAGCCACCAACGACCTCGCACACCGACACGGAGATAACCCCTCCGCGTCCACATGCCCTAAATTTGCACCACTTCGACACCGCGATGGACAATTTGCCCCCTCCCCTCACCATACCGCATCCTCCCCACCACTGACCTAATCCTCGCCCTCGCTCACCGCAACTGCTCCCGAATTCCCGACTCAGCTAGATTTCTGCACCCACGTTGAAGGACTAACGCATCACTGCTAACATGGGTCCGGCCACCCCACGCGACCGTGCTGCACACGTCACACTCCATTGCGCAATTACGCTGGGCGGAACCACCCGCCCGGTTCCGCCCACCGCTGCTGCTGATCCTACCACTAAAGATGCGCTCTTCGCCAGCCCCCTCCCCCCCCCCC